CAATTTTCAGCTAACCATAGTTGACACTATTAGTGTTGCTGTCACCTGTACAACAATTGCATACAATTGCTTTTAACCAAAACATTGAATTGATATAATATTCTGGGTTGACTCTAATATTGTATTTTTAGTATAAACATTGTAAAATACAAACTTTTGCGATTGCCAATTGAATTTTAATGACTGAATCTATTTATCAACTTTCATCCCTTGTTTAACATCCTTTAAATTATTATTTTGCTTTCAAATTTCACATTATCATTTGCCAAGCAAATATAAACATTTTCTGAAAATTTCATTAAAATCTACAGAGCCATTTTGCATTCTATTGAATACAAACATACATTTTACTAAACAAATGGTTATAGAGATAAAGCTTTTGAATGTTTTAACTTTTAATTGCACTCTTTTTTCTTAATAAATAATTAAAATGTAAGCAGAAATTAATTAGCTTTTAAAAATGTATAATTTAATCGGTGCTCTACTTTTTCTTCCGTTTCTTTTATTCCTTCTTTCTACATCTTGTCCAATATCATTTCCAACTTGCGACTTGTCAGCTTTTTCTTTATGCTCCATCCAGCAGCGGACAATTCTCTGCGCGCCCCTGTGAAGAATAGACTTGTCGACCAGTCCCAGAATACATAAAGTAGTTAAAGTACATAGGCCGAGATAAAGTATGTACGTGGTGCGCGTGATTGCAATACGCAAACACTCGAATGCCTCGAATTTAACGCGTGCTTTGCTCCGAGAGTGCTTGTCGCCGTTTCGTTTTCGTCTCGGTCCTTCCAGTCTTCTTGCGTGGAGCGACTAATGATGGTATTAATATGTTGATGCGCGTTCGCAAATTTAGCTTTACTGACTAACGCATCGGGTGGCACTGCGCAGTGCCACTAGACGCTAAATGTACATTTTGCGTTTTATCTCTTTATTAAGGACGGAAACCGAATAACAGCGCCACGGGAAGCAACTCGGTACAAATGCTTTGTGTTTTGATTACGCGATTAAATCGAGAAATCTTCGGATGTCACGCACGAGTTGATTAATCAAAGTGTCTAGAATCTTATTATTATTATTATTACGTATTTAAAACAGGATTGTTACGCGCATGTTGCTCAAACAATTCGTAATCAATCCGAGTAATTAATTTAAAGAAAATTCGTGACAGGTCGCAACTTGAACTTTGTGTGTATTCATGTGAATGCACTCAATGTTCGTCTCTATTAAGCAAACTCAAACTAAATTCCAATTTGAAGCACAATACCTGCATTGTTTATGCGTCCAAATCCAATAAATCCCCAAATTATGCGTATTGACCTTGAGAATTGATTAGGGTTTGGATCCACTTAGTTGGACATTTTCATAAGGTCCATTTAAACCCAAATAATAATAATAATAAAAAAGACCTAATAATGTCAAAGTATCATCCTATTAGTTATATAAAATATATTTTAGCAATTGTATAATATATCTTTGTTAATATTATTGATTTATGTGGTTTATTATCATATTTTCCAGGAATAGGGATTTGATGTAAGGAGTAACATTGAACGCGCCTAACAAGGGAAAGCCCTTCCCATCCCCTAGGCCTAGGGCGCGCGGCCTAGTCTACACAAAAAAGAAAATCCATAAATAGATTTTCCTATTATATATTCCACATATTCTGCGCTCTCTGTTTATGATTATATATTCAATATTGAACATTCAACATGCAATGTACAACGCGACATGGGTAGGCACTACATTTAAGATAATAAAACATATCCTGGATTGTACTCGTATTTACGAGTAGATAGTACACTATTTTTATATATAGGAACATGGTTCTATATTTAGGTATGTAGTTTACTATTTTTATCGAGTTGTTTTATTGGTTGTTTGTTTGTTGTTTCTGGTTTCCCACAACAAAATCTGTTGGTAAGCGCATAACTCAACAACGCCTTGACCAATTTGGCCAATTTTTTAATAAAATGTTCGATAAAGTCCAAGGATGGTTTTTACGGAGAGAAAAACTTGAATAATTGCCAAGGAAACCCTAAAGACCGCCCTTTTCTATAGGATAAAAGTTGGCATTGAGATTCAATCATAGTTATAATTAAATAGTTGAATCCGAGATGGCGCGCTGAAGTGCAATATTGGCAATTCTTTATATAATTAATTTCTTTAAAATAAAATTGCGAAACTTATTGATAGAATTGACAAATACTATGTCTAGAAGAAGAAAGTAAACCGAATTACATTTTTATTAAACACTACGGGGACGAAATCGCGGGCAAAAGCTAGTATTCAATAGATATAATGAGTGCAACTAAAAAATGACTAGAATTGCATATTATACTGGTTATTGATTATTTTGATAACAAAGAAAGAACAAAAATCAGAACACAAGCAAGACAAGTAGAATGCCAATTAGAGAAAACAACTAAACAATAAGGTAATAAAAATGCCTACCGTGAAATTTTTGATCGTATTTTGTTTAAATTATCTTTGCTTTCACAGATTTGATCCAATAATCGTCAAGTTTTCCGTTTGGTTAACTCAAAATACAAAGTGTTTTCGCGCAAATTCACAAATTACAACCTAAAATGTACCTTTTTTTCAACTAAAACAACAACTTCAAATAAAAATATCTTATTTACTGACAAAAATATTAATTTCTAGCATTGTAAAACAGTTTTTCATAAGCATTTATCATATCCATTCTTTTATGTGAAAATAGCAACATCACAAACTACCTAACCTAAAAATTACTGAATTTTCACTATTTAATTAATAAACTTAAGTAATATTTTTTACAAAGAAGTAAATGAATGCAAATTAACCAAATTACGTCCTCGATCTGAATACCCGATGACACGCTCAGTGCATTGGGAATAAATTATCCATATGTCAAAAAAGACATTACAATTAATGTAAAAACTTTCAAGAATAATTACCTCCACACGCACTATGTGTTTAATCTACCGTAATGTAATTCCATAAACACACGTGCAAACATTGAATGTTTGTTGAATTTACGCGAATTAAATTTAAATTATATAAAAATGATCGCAAAATATCTCTCTTCGTTAATATAAATACAAAATTAAAATTAGATACGCACGCTTCAAGCGAGCAATCAATGTAAATCAATCGTAATGAATTTGAACTTAATGGATGTAAAACGTAAACGTAAACTTGACCTGATTTCGTCCTCACAACTTTTACAAACATTAAAAATATTAAAATATACACATTTAAAAAGTGTAATATTATTATCAGTGAAAATATCACCGTTTTGATTCTGTATTTTGATGGTGGAATGTTATTTTAGTTAGACACATATAGGTAATTGATGATTTAACAGGTGTTAAACAAGCTTCTGGTAATAGTTCTGTGTGCGAACGATAAATTGGTTTTGATTATGTTAATTTGATAGAAAACACGTGTCATATTTAACGGTCAGCTATAAATTATCACTCAATACAGTGTAATATATCATCGAAATAATTTATTTGTTGCTGGAAGCAAAAAATAACTATTTTCTTCATTTGTGTGCAAAAAAATTACATTTTAAAATACTATTAAAATGCAATACAGTATTTTATTCCAATTTTAGAACATGATTTATATTTTTTTGCTTGTTACTCAACTATATTCAAGTTTTTTTCCGATTCGCTCGAGAGTTTTCATCATTTCATGCCATAAACTGTCAGTTTTTTTGCTAGAAAATTCCAGCCTGAAAAGTGAAGTGTTTCATTCGCTCGACTTACGCGGAATTATAATATTCTCGAGACGCACTTCTGTTCATGTTCCTGCCGAGTGTAAGTTTGCTGAAGTTTCCCTAATATGCACAATACTCTCGAGTGCATACTCGTAAATTACTCACGCTGTTCAAGTTCATTGAAAATCTCCTTCTCCTACACTCATCAACAAGTTATATTTTGGATTATGCTAAGTATAAGTTATGATTCCATATCATTCATATCATGTTTTTATATCAGCATCCAAAGAAAAAGTTTATCCCATATTAAAAGTTTATAACCCGCATTGTTTTTGATTTTATTTATATTTATCTTTTTTCACTTTCCGTACTCAAGTATTTCGTTTACGCTTTGAATGATGATGAAGCAGTCGAGAATCAACGGCGATAGAGAACACAAGAAAACATAAACCAAGCGCGAAAGTTTTTCTTGTGCCAGCCTCTTGAAACCGCAGCCTGAAGAAAAACGTAAAAAGAATGTTTTAAAACTTGATTGAATGCTTTCAGCCGAGTCGAGTTTTCAACTTTTGCGCTTGGCAGATTCCTCCGACTGTTTATCGACGTAAATATGCTTCATTGGTTTTAATTAAAAAATATTACTAGCCAGATACATGAAAAGTTGCATAATAATCTCTTTAAGTACCACTTTAGTTTTAATTGAAGTTTTTTGCATGCTTGAATAAAAAATTAAACTAGAAATTTATAAATATTTAGACTGACAATAAATTTGGCTTTGTAGATGGCTGTTAAGTTGAGATTGCGTTTATCTTAGGAAAGTCTTATAGAAAAACTTTGAGTGTTTGAATTTACTTGCTTGCGCATAAAATCTAATCGTAACTTAGCTGGCAGTGGCACACAGTTCGCAAGATTGGAAATTACAGCGGAATTCAATGTACTAGTGCACTTAAACTTTGTGTAAATATACAATCGACGCACTTAAGTCAATGAATTTAAGTTTTTATATATTTATGCTAAAAATAGTTTTAAATAAAGAAACAAAAATTTCATTTCAGTACTATTCGCATACGTTTTGCCGCATGATGGGGAATTTTGATTAAAAAGAGAGTTTTTTTCGTCTCAAGTCTGTAATCGTATTGACCTTTTTGTGGTTTATAACAATCATTCTTTGTGTCTGGCCAGACATATTGATCTAGATCTTAAAGATACAAAGATACAAACAAACTTGAGTTCAAGATTCAGAAAAAATCCTTTCTGGTTTATTAAAATTAAAAAAAAAAACGCAATTTGTTGATTTATATACCTTGATGAAGCAACTGGGGCAACAGGCCATGATCTTCGTGATCGTAGAATAAGAGCTGTGCGTACGCCACTGCTGGCACCCATTTGCGGTGCAGAGGTACGCTTCCGGGATTTGCCGCCACCACGACCGCCCCACAGGTGTGAGCCGGGATGCGGCCCCTGCTCGGAACACGCACGCCTCCCTCGTCCAGCTAACAACATCTCACGATGTTTACCACTTGCCGCTGCAGCAGCTGCAACCGCCGCCTGCAGGTCCTGCTGCTCTAAGGTGGCGGCAATCTCTTGTTGCACTTCGAATATGGTCGAAGACATTTTATCACACACTTAGATATTAATATTTATATTTATATGAATACACAAATCTGTTTACTAATTTTCACACTTTTTTATAACACAATTTAATTACTTATCTACGGAAACAAAAAATTAATATCCGACTAATCTACGAACGAAACAACGTGCGTTTTATTGATTGCGGGTCAGATCATATTGAATTCCCGGCCCTTGATGGCAAAGGGTCTAAAAATAAAAGTGCGCATCGCTCTGTTATTATGTCTCGCCTCGGGTGTCACATGTGTTGTTGTAATAATAAGTTTTGAATTTCACCATCCACGATTTCAGCAATTTCATCAGCATTTAAATTTATCACAACTCAATTATCCAATACATCGCCGACGTTTACGCGTACAAATGAAACCGAATCGCAATTCACACACAATTCACTCACAGTTTATAAGAGAGTTAATTTAGAGTCCAAATCGAGTCATAACGCGAATGTTGCACATTTGTGTATTTGGTTCACTTGCGATGTACTTTCACTTTGCGCACTATAAACCAGTCACAGGCTCGATTATGTTGAAATGTCATTGATCTTCGTTGCCTTTTAAAGTTCTAATCGTGCAAACCAATTTAGTCATAAAACTTAATCTTTAAAACTAAGACTAAACTATTAAAACTTAATTAAGTTTTTTGCGCTAATTTTAAACACGCACGACGTAATTATAAGACGGTAAGATTTATAACTTAAAGCAAAGTTATAAAAGTAAATGGTAGTGTAGACGACGCGTATGTTGTTGTTGTTTTCTTCGTGGAGATGATATGGAGCGCGTTTTCGCGTTCGTTCCGAACGACGGCGCGGAGTCGTCTACTCTCCTGCTGGCGTTCCTGCTGACGGACGCGCACACGCGACTCGAGCGCTATCGCGACTTACTCCCGCACAGGTGTGCGATCGTTGCGACACGTGGATGAAAATCAACCACTAAAAACTGTACATAACTATTATATTCACTATATTATCCATATCGAGCAGTCATTTTATTAGGTTAGGGAATAAACTCGGTCGTTTATAAGCCACTGCATTAAAGCATAACTTCAAAAGTCAATCAAAAACAACGAATAAAAGTTAGGTTAATAACACCAATTTATATCTGCTTGTACAATCATATTGTACAATCATGCACTCTACATACCTTTTGTGAAGACATGCAATTATGTTAAATATTTAATACGGTATTCTCTACTTATCGTTAATTTCCTCCTTGGTGCACTATAATCGCAAGCACCAGTTCTATTGCTTCACCAACGGCCGAATCATCAATAATATTTTATTATTCAACTGCGTAATACTATACTCCCCACATATGAGATAATCATAACAACTTCATATTATCTACCTGTACAGCCATATAGAATCATTATAACTAATTAATGAAACACACAAATGCACCGCGCATGATATAAATAAATAAAGCAAGCGTATTTGTGTGCCCAGAACAATCTAGGTCAATGAACTGATGATAGTAGATTCAACATACTGACATCGATAAATTGACGGATTCGAATCAGCAAATTGGACATGAATGATCATGCACCATATTGTACCACCTTGCTGCATCGACGCACAAATCATACGCGCGTGATTATTACCTACGCTCGATTTGAGCAGTTGAAGACGATGATTTATGATGTGCGTCGTCGTCGAGGACGCACTAACGTTAATGGATGATTTAATGCGTCAAATGCACTCTATTTATTTGAATTACTTCAATTATCTGTTCTACGCAAATTCCGACATGAATATAAGTAAGTGGGTATTATTTGGTATTGTTTTATAGGAGTTTATACAAAAATATACTCGAGTTGTTATTAATGACGGTTGGTATTGGCGTCATTGTTAAATACTTTATATTTTCATATTTATTCAATATATACCTGCTATTATAATGCAACAGTTTGTTTATTACATGTATCTGCGTCAATTTCTCATGTAGAATCAATATTAATTTATTATTTATTATATTTTACAGCAATTTATTGTGTGGATAAATAAATACGTCATATTTGTTACAAAAAAATTAAAGTTTTTAGTTTTTTTTAACTTATATTAATATAATACAGTATATTAAGTATCAAGTGTATAAACGGGGACTTTCCTCACGAGAGTGATGAAAAGCGAGCGTAGCGATCGCTATCGAGTGATTAACAACGTTTAGCTACGTGATGCTTACGCTATGTTTTTTACTTCCACTTGATTTTCACGTTAAGTTTTTGTATTTGAACTTTTTATTTTAAATCTTCAAAATTTGCTCGCACACTACTACAAAATCTAAGGTTATGAAAGTCATGCCGCGCCGACACAAACAGCAGCTGCGCATGCTTTGATGTGTTCGACTGACAGCGTTTCATATGGGTTTGTGCTGCACCATAGGCAAATGCGTAGGCGCCAGCTTCATCCCGTGACTAAAATTCGTGACTAAACTAATTTAGTACTATAATTGCGTTTTTTGCCAAAAAAATTAAATCCAAAAATAGAAAATACACAAAATTAAAAAAATAATAATAAAAAATGCAAAGAATTTTTTCACTTTTTCTTTCTTTGTGATTTAAATCTGTCAGCACCGATTAGAAGATTGACCAATATCAAAGCAAAAAACCCTCGTTTGATACACGTATTTATCCCGCAGATTGCTCGTCTGAGTCGCGAAGGATTTGCGATTATCGGCATACCGCATCGAGCAGCAAACAAACAGTCGAACAGAAACACTGTGCAAACAGAGCGAGCGTGCTCCCCCGCATGCGGGATTGTTTCGTCGGCGGCGAGGTGCAGACGACAGACGCGACTCAGACGGGCATCGATAACGCCCGACCGGATTTTATGCGAAAATTGCGGATTTATTCCACGAAATTGCCCGCCGCATCCGCCAGAATATAATAGAAAACACTCTCGTGGCCCACGTTGTGCGAAAGCGTAACTAACAATACCATGCTACATCGCACATGACTCAATTCGTCTACAGGATGAAACATGTGATTGAAAAATTATTTTTATTTAATATTTGTTTAATGTGCGTAAATCTGCTGCACTCTGTATATGTGTAACGTGGTATCAACAAAGATAATTGTTTTGTCTCGAATACAAAGTCCACTCCAGTCCAGCCGACGAGCTGTCTAGTGAAGTGATGAAGTAGGAGTAGGAGTAGATTTATCCAGATGGAAAATGTCTGCTTGTCTACAAGTTTAGTTGATTGCAAGCAGATATTTCGAGATGGTTATATAGATAATAGTGGTTTGATGTGAGGAAAAGAAATTATAAACCAATAAATCAACGACGGTCTGTGTGAATACCGACATGCAGCGTAGACGTAAACTAATTTATTTTTTACGAATTATAGCCCCAAACCCTTAACCCTCGGGTCATGGCTGTGCGCTGTACCTATCTGTTGTTTATTAATTTAGACTGGACTAGAACCTGATACCCTTTGCTTTTTACTGCTTTCACCCTATTAAGTGATTAAACTACTTTGCTTCAATTTAGAATTTTGAGGTTGTAAAACTTTTGTACCTAATTTTATGTGGATATATAAAACATAATATAAATTTAACATATATTTTATGCAAGGTTTTGCTTTAAACTTTGAAACTGCCTTTGAAACAATCAATAAAAATCTAAATTTTAATTTAAATAAATTAGAAACGATAATTTCGCAAATGAAATTTTTATAACAACTTACATCCCTATTTTATACCCTTCAATGATTATTTTTGAGACAAAATATTGCCTAGGTTTAATAATGCCAAGTAAACATTATCATTGTAAAACTTTATAAAACAGTATATTATGTGACGAGTGGTTAAACGAGGGCATTACAGACGAGAATAGGTTGAGAGCGAGAGTAGCGAGCGATAAATCAGTCGAGTTTTTAACAACGTTTAACCACAAGGTGCTTATGCTATTTTTCTACTTCCACTCTAGTTCCACGTTGCGATTTTTGTATTTCAACTTTCGTATTTTAAATCATCGAAATTTGCTCGCACACTTATACAAACTGTAAAGTTATAAGTACCATGTCGTACGCCGGCCCATGTGACGCTTCGGTTTGTATCGTGCCCCTCCGATACGAACAGCAGCAGCTCCTGCTTTGACGTGTTTGACCGGCGTCGCATGGTATTTCATACCGCCTTGTGCTGCTCCGTAGATAAATGCGCAAGCGCTTGCTCCGTCCCGTGCATAATGCAAGTATATAATAAATATTATGTACGGCTTGGCCGTCCGTATATAAAGTACCACTTTTTGTGTCTAAAACCGTGGATAAAACTGGCGCTTTACAGGTGGAAGTAGAAAAAAATTATTTTAATGGTTTTTGCAATAAAGCGGAACAAACAAACAAATTCACATTCGCATTTATAAAATTAAATTATATATATTTTTGTATGTAAATTGAGTTTTGTTGACATTTCAACAAAATCCATTAAATTTATTTTTATTAATAGACATTCGTCTGTATTTGTTGTGAAATTAACACGCGGTAAACACAAAAACATTTGTTATTGCACCTACGCGTAATTCTACATGAAAAACCGCTGGCACGAGAGAGCAATGCACGTTACTTACGTTCTAACACCTTTTTCCGCAAGATAAATATCGTGTATATTTACGCCAACCGCACGATTAAACTGTGTGAATAAATTGTGGAGTAAACGCTTACAATGCGAACAAATTGTGCGGCATAATAAGTACATAATGAAGTACCGAGTAAAAATAGAATCTCATAGAATAGAAAAAGTTATATGGAGGTAAATATAGTTTTTGTTTAACAAGTGGACAGTAAACAGTAAATATTAAATATACGTCAACAAAAATAAATATACGTTTATAAATAACCAACTTTTGTAACTATAGTCATCTAGTTGTATACTCGTAAATTTCAACAATCATGTTTTTACTGAAAAATTCTTAAAATTATTGTCTTTGATTGATCTTTATTAGTATAATATGCAGTATTTATTTGTTTGTGTGGTTTAGGTTCAATTTAATCTAATTTCATGAAGTGAACCTAATTCCTTGCTTTTCCAGCTCTGACCAGATTAGACATTAGAAGGCGAGGCAAGTTTCAATCTCCTTCATTGCTGCCAGTACGATTGCTCTTTGTTTCAGAACTCTCATCCTGGCAAACCACGTGAAGTGCGACATCGCATACTAATGCAGTGTTTCGTGGAATTGCTTCAAATGCAACAATTAGAAACCATAAAAGCTTATTTCATACCTAACAATAAAGTAGTGGTTACTAACCTTTTTTATAGCAATATTATTGGAATAAAAAACCCAGATTTTATTTTATCAGGTTCATAACTACATCTCAACACTAAGGTAATAAGGTATATTAAGTAACAAGTTGCTAAATGAGGGCATTACGCACTAGTTCAATAGAACTTTTAGCCACGTGATACTTACACTATTGTTTCTACTGCCACACTATTTCCACGTTGTGGTTTCGATATGTCAACTTTTATATTTTAAATCGTCGAAATTTGCTTGCACAATTATACAAAAAGTCAGGTTATAAATTCCAATGCTGCGCGCCGGGCAATGTGACGCTTCGGGCCATATCGGACCGCTCCGACACGAGCAGCATCATCGCCTGCTTTGACATGTTTGACCGACGTCGCTTGGCATTTCATACGGTCTTGTGCTGCTGGGGACAAATGCGCATGAGCCTGCTCCATCTCGTGCATAATGCCGTAGATAATGAATATTATGTACGACTTTCCCATACCTATATACCACTTTTTGTATCTAAAAACAATGAAAAAACTGGCGCTTTATAGGTGGAAGTAAACATTTCTGTTTTATTTTA